TTTGTAGCGATTTGATTCTAAAAAATAAATAAAGGCAGCGATTTGATTTTAATTTTTTTTATTTAAACTTTCTTTTTAAAAAAAAAGCAAAGCAAAAAATAATTAAGCTTAACTTGTTGCCTCAACAGCGACATATTGAAAAAATTAAAAAAGAAAATCTTATTTTGGAAATCGCTCCTTTAGGAGTGATTTTGTTTAATTTTTTTTTAAAAAATCAAATTTAACAAATCGCTGCTATTGCAGCGATTTTACTTTTTCCAGCGGACAAAATCGCTACTTCATGAGCGATTTTGCCGTTTTGGTTAAAAAGAAATTTCGTATACCGTTTTAGAATTTTTGTTAACATTTTTCACCCTTTAGACTCCGGACTCATATAATGTCACACATAAATCTAATTGGACTTTTTTTCTAAGAGTTCGGCTAATTACATTATATTTCAAAAGTTTTTTAAATTATACAATTACGGATCTTTTATTGCTTTCGATATATTTCTTTGCTATCTCATACATTACTTAATGAAAGAGTGTGATCTTAGAGGGGATATAGATGTTTCTGAGAGGGGAATTTTGTTTTTGTTTTTAAAAAAGATGGAAATAACTGTAAAAAACACACCTAAACTATTCTTTTTTTAAGTTTCACATCCAAACTATTGAGTGTAACACCCGAAACGCTGACTTAGAAAATTTAGTAGAAAAATACCTGAACCAGTGAACCACAACAGGGTTCGCGAACTGTGATAGGGTCTACAGTCCGTTGACCTGCATGTAGACTTCAGCACCCTCCAGCAGAGGTGGGCCATGGGACCCTTTACGGGTCGTGGACCACCTAAAGGGTCGTACTGGTGTCCGTGGTGGAGAGTCAGAGTTCCCAAGCTTAACATCAGACCACAGAGCCCTTCAGGGGTTGTGGTCTTGTTAACGGGCTGTGAGAGGGTCCGTAGACCTGAGCAAACAGGTCACCAACCCAAGAAAAGAACCACGTCGACCTTCACGGTCTGTGGTCCTTCACATGAGCCATGGTAGGGCTCATGGTCGAGGAACCCAGAACCAACAACTATTGGACCAAGGACCACGATTGGCTTCACGGTCCATGGTCCCTTTGACGGCCCGTAAAAGGACCGTGGTCAACCCATTTGACTTTTTAGTTAGGGGTTATTTGATCTTTCCCTTATGTTTTGGACCTGTAATCTATGTTGTTTAACCCCTCAACTACGTGGTTTTGATTAGCTTTAGCCTAATAAACTAATTAGAACCAAACCTACTAAAAAATACATCAAACTCGGAAAAAAATCAGAGAGGAAGTCGAGCAACCCTAATTCAAGAACACGACGAGTTCTAATCAATTCCAGCCCTAAAATTGAAAGATTTCTCTGTGGAATTCATCGCCAGGTGTTTGAAATTTCACTAGTGTGTTCCTTTCACCCATTAGGTACCTAGAGTTCCTTCAGATTCTTGATTCCATTTATATTATGTTGACCTAGGATTTCTAGAATTTCAGCAAATTATTATAAATTAGTTACTTTAATAATCCTAATCATATTATCATGATTTTAGTATTATTTTACAAAGCCTCATCAATTGTATTTGTTGGAACATAACTAAACTACCCAACTATTCACTAAATAAATCCAGGCACCAATTTATATAAATCCATATATCTATCTATCAATATTTAATGTAGATTTCCTCATAAACTCAGAACCCTAGCTATGTAGTTCTTTTAGTTCATGAATTACACATGCTAGGTTAGTTATTTTAGATTACATGATTTAGTTTAGGAATGTCACATTATGAATTATAATTGTTGCATTCTCAGAGTTTTCATGTCAGTAATTGAGCTATCCAGTACTTCAAAGTTTCAGTCATAATAATGCTTATATACATTCTAATTGGGAGTAGGATTAGACCGAGTAAACTAGGGTTCAGTGTACTCAAATAGTCCCAAAACTATGTGTCCTCGTAGATTTATAAGTCTCTTTTACTGGCATTACGTTTTGGTGATCATTCCAGTTATGCCTCTATACCTCTGGCAGGGTATATTGGGTCCTCTCCATGGGGCGTATACATCGGAATCCACATTTAGCTCATGTCATTTTATGTTGGTTACTAGTAGCCCCACAGTCAAATTCTATTGTGTTAACCATGTTATCAACTACATTCAGATTTCAGTCTCAGTATGTTATAAACTTGGTCATTGCATTCAACTAGTTTATGTTCGGTATTCTTAGTATATTATCATGCTTATGTCATATCATTGCTCAATTGTGTTTATCGTTCACCTTTAA